GGAACAGCTCCCACTCTCCTCTCCACAGCCATCCCTGAACATTTTCAGTGTCGGTTGCAGCGCTGGCCTCCCAACCCCAAACTGTCCCCTGCCCTGGGGACGCGGCTGCTCCATTCCTGTCCCCTCTCAGAGGTGCTGTGGGGGCTGTGCTGTGGCACTGCTGCATCCAGGAGCTCTGGGCACGTCCCCACTGCCCCATGGCCCCTGCAGCAGCCTTGGGCATTGCTCTCCAGCACCCCTGAGAGCTGCTGGTGCCACAAATCCTTCAGTGCCCCTGGAAGGCACTTCAGGGGAAGTGCCTTTCCCTGGCTGTTATTTCAACCATGATTTCTTGGAGAGGGATCCAACTGCAGGGGAGTGATGGCTGCAGGGAAGGGAAGGGTTTCACAGGGTCCTTATGGCACATCAGTAATTACCAGGCAGCCACGACCTCTCTATTTGCTGCTCTGTGGCTGCACCAGCAAAGGTCAGAGTATCCAGGCAGCTTGGTTGTGCACCCTCCTGGTGGTGTTTTTATCCAAGTTACTAATTACACATTACCTGTATGTCAGCAGGCTGATCGATAGGAGTCTGAGGGATCGATGTGGATGTGGATGACGGTGCTGTTTGCCATTCAGAGCCTGCACACGCTGGGAAAAACAGGGCACCATCGATCCCAACGCTGGGCTGACATGTAGGGCAGGATGGAAGGCACAGGGAGGGGGGAGGACCACCCTGCCTTCCTAAATGACAGTGACACAGCCACTGGGACAGTGTCCTGGCCAGGGATCTGCCATGGCTGTGCCCCCAGCATGTACCTGCATCCCAAGGCTGGGGCAAACCTCCCACCCCGCAGCTCTCCCTTGGGAATGGCACGAGCCACTTTCATCTAGGTTGCTTTGAAAGGTTCACACTGATCTGAAAATGGACAATTCTCCCTCTTTATGTGTTCTTACTGGGTGATCAGTGCCTGAAGCAATCACAGGCTACTTCAGAAATCACAAGGTCTCCTGCATTTTGCTTTGCTGCTTAACTGACCAAAAACTGAGGCCACCTCTGTAGTGCCATCATGTTGCTGCCAGCAAGAGAGGTCTTTGCTGCAGAATGCAATCAAATTTTGCAGGAAGAAGCTCTTGGGACTACCATGAAATTTGGGATTACAGCGTGGCTAAATGAGGGAATTGCATAACTGGGGCTTTCTGCCTGTCTTGCTGGAGTTCTGTGGCTGTTCTGATTCTGTCGTAGCGATGCTGGGAAATCGCTCTTTGAAACCAAAAGAGCCCTGGAAAGGCATAGGCAGGTCAGGATCATCTGCCCCCAGCGCTGGGTTTGTCGTGAGCAGCGAGTTGATGGTGGTAGGATCAGACAGAGAGCGGTGTGGGGTGAAAGCAAAACTCTCCCCAAAGGCCTCCTCACCCTTGACTGTGCCTGTGCCCTCAACAAGGTGCAAAGCTCTGCAGCCCTCTCCTGTCAGGCCACTTCCCAGGCACTCCCTGGAGCCCAGGGAATGGATCAGCAGCCATGGGGCAGCCGAGGTGTTGGATCAGCCACCCCTGGCCAGCAAAGCAAGAGCCCTTTGCCTGAAAAACATGTGGTGAAAAGCTTTGAAAAAGCAACACAATCTTTTGTGTTTATTGAGGGTTTTAGGGTAACAAAAGGAGCTGTGGAGGGAGGCTGCTAGTCCTGCCTTTCCTAAGCAGCAGATGGAATCAACTCCAGTGCTAGAATAGTCACCAGCACCTTAATCCTACAGAAGACCCATAATCCTTCCCTTAGTCCCACCAGCCCCAAAAGCAGAAAGCTGCCCAGATTTGCTGTTTGGTGGGGTTTACTCAGCCTCAGTTACACTCTCAGTAGTCACAGTAGTCACTCACCCCCTTGGAAAGGCCATTCCCACAGGAGTCCAGATGCTCCTGGGGCAGGGAGCAGACACAATCCATGCTGGAAATCCGGCAGAGGCTGCTCTGGCTCTCAGCAGCCCCAGCCTTCAGGACACTCCTCCAACCCAGTGATGCTGCCGGGGCTGTGTGGGCTGTGACAGCTCAGAGCAGAGCCCTGGGGCTCCCCAGGGCATCACTGACAGGTCCTGTGGGTGAAGCCAATGCCTGAGACACTGGGATGGTCCCATATTCCTTCCAGCCACTGGAAGGAGCAGTCACTGGCAGTCACTCCAAATCTGGTCTAAGAGCTTTGCAAAGATGAGCTGGAATGTCCAGCTATGAACCACAGGCCCTTGGCCAGCACCTGGAAGCCACCAGAGAGGTTGTACAGGCACAGCCAGCCCTGGAGAACATCCCCTGCCCTTCCCACACAGCCCCATACAGCAGGAGACATTTCTTCCTGGAATTAACTCCTATTTTTAAAATCCCAGCAAAGAGGCTTTTGCTGAAGAATGACTGGCAGGATTTCAGCTGTGCCCCCATTTGCCCTCCCTGGGCTCGGCCCCAGGACCCCTCTCCATCAGCTGCAGTTGGGGATTGGGGCAGCCCACTGACCCACACAGAAATGGGCCAGCTTGGCTGCCCCAACCTCTTCACAGGGGCTGCTCTGCAGGTTTGGGAGGAGGGATCCTCCCAGAAATTTAATTTTCAGTGAGCTGGCACCACAAACGGGGAGTGACCCCATCTCTAATCTCTCGGGAGCAGCTTTGACTTTGTGAGAGCTGAGCAAATGTTCCTTTATCCTTCCCCCTCTCCCTGTTGCTCGTTTACTCTTTCATTAGGGCTCTTCCTCTTGCCGTTTGTGTGGAGATGTTGGTTTGTTTATTTTCTGTGGGGTGGATGCCAGGCATCAGGAATCATGTGCTCAACGTATGGTGGCAATTAGCCCAGCCCTGAACCCTGATGGCACGTCTGCATCTGCAATTACTGCTCTGCTCTGCTCTGTCTGCGTGAGGTTTTTATCTTCCTTCCTTCTGGGGCTGAAAAAGGCACAACTTGGATCTCTCAAAAAATTGCAGGAAAGTGTTAAAGCTGGAGCTTGACTGCCCTTGCTGTGGGGCCGCTCTCGGGATTGATTCCTGTTTGGTTCAGGAATCAATCCTTGGCCTCTGCACCTGGATTTATGCGAGTGCAGCTCGGGGCATCTGTCTGAGACAGTGCAGAGCCTGTGGGGACTGATTCTGGCTCTGCTGGTGCCTCTGCTCAGGCACTTTATGGCCTGTTTCGTGCTCCTGGCTCTTTATTAGGACATCAGATTGCCCGAGTCGATGTTTTATAGTATTAAGCTTATTTACTTGTGTCTTTGGTGCTCTGCAAAATACCTCACGTTGGATTTGGGGGATGGGAAAATGGGAGCAAAATTTGGATTCTGGGGGGGAAATGTCAGGGCAGGCAGAGGGAAGGTGCCTGTAGGACCTCTACCAAACCTCATGGGCTTGCTCTGCTTTCCTTCTCTCCCATATAAATTCACCTGTCCTAAAATCCCTGTTCTCCTCTGAGATAATGTGATTTTTGGGGAGGAGTTTCTCTCCCTGTCACCTGCCACTGATTTCTACTGAAGAGCTTCCTCCTGGGGAAGGGGGTAGGAAAACAGGGAGAGAAATTATGGAGGGGCAGCATTTCTGAATCCAAATACATTAAACCATTTAATTCTGTTGACTCAGGGCTGCCTGGCTCTGAATGGGAATTAATCCACAGTGCACAAAATTAAAAAGCACATGACAAAATGCTTAGCAAGGCACTGGCAGGGTTTAAAGCAGCCCATTAGCTTGCTCGAACGTACCCAGTAAATTTTCATTTGTCAATAACGCTTAGAGCCTACAGTTTATTTACAGCCTGTTCAATATTACCAGCACCCCTCGGAGCGCCTCATCTGTATTTATCTGCCACAGCCACTTCCCTTTCCAGGGACTCTTCCTAATCCCTTGCTCTGTATCTGCTTGTCTTGTTGCAGAGCCAGATGCAGCAGGCGAAGGTGATGTGGGGTTATCCCTTTCCATCCCAATTATCCCCTGCATGGGAGACCACCCTGAGCCACCTCCCAGTGACCCACCCCAGCCCTGGGGTGGGGATGGAACCCGCTGCCATGGGGCTCCCACTGGCTGCAGCCACCAGCCAGCACAGAGGGGTGATGGAATCCCCAAACTGGGAGATGGGGATCCCCAAACTGGGAGATTGGGATAGGCACAGGCAGCTGCCTCTATGGACCCACAGGCTGGCTGAGCTGGAGCAGCCACGGCTCCTCCATCTGTCCCAAATCAGCTCCCGTGGGATGAGCCCTGGTGAGGAGAACATGTAACAGGATTTCCCCCCAAAGCTGCTTGAATGCTGCCAGGCAGATAACAAAGCCTGGCTGACCCTGAGGATTTCTCCAAGGGAAGGAGTTTATTCTTGGGCACAGACATGAGCGGGCAGTTTAATCTCCTGTCGTGGCTCACGTCCAGTTGGGGTGGTTTGGTCCAACACTTGAGCTCACAGAGACGTGGAGAACCAGCCTTGGGTGGAGTTTGTCCCTCCACGGGGAGGGAGGACATGACCTTCCCCAGCTGCACTAGCACTCCTCTGAGGCACAGGTACAGGCAACTCAGTGCAACTATAAGTGGATGCAGCACCAAGAGGAGGAAGTAGGGGGCTGGGGAAATACAGGACAGGTTGGCAACCACCTGTCTCAGGTGGAAAGCTCAGAGAGGAAGATCCATCCTCCAGAGGCTAACCATTAACAAAATGGCCCAAACAGAACTGCAAACTTCCCAGGGGACATCTACTGGACCCCAGGAGGTGCAGCAGCACCCTGCCAGCAGCCAGCTCGGTCTCCACCACTCACCACAGCTCCCTGTCCTACACAAGATCCTGAGCCAGGAGCAGTGAGCAGGACCTGCCACAGACCTGTGCATGTGGTGGGAGGTGACGTTAATAGATTTTACAGGGGTGGATGCAGGAGGCAGTCCCTGAAGTGAAGAGCCACTCGCTTTTCTCCCGGTGCTGGTTGGGTTTCCAAGCACCTCCTGCTGCTGAGATCCAACACTCGGTGAACAGACACCCCACTTTCCCGCCCCACAGAGCCAAGGCCCCGTCACTTGCCTGCTGCTGTCTGCATGTATCCAGCCAGGGTGCAGAGCCGCCGCTCGCAGGCTCCGCCGGGCAGCAGGACAGCCACGATGGCCAGCAGGGCGCTGAGGGCCAGCAGGGCACAGCCACCCGCACACAGCACGGCGCTCGTCTGCAAGGACACAGGGGCTGTCAGTACTTGGGCTATAGTGGTGATAGCAAAAGTATTACATGCACGAGGGGCTGTGTCACCATTACACATGTCTGTGATGCGTGTCGGTGCCCCTGCTGAGAGTGAAATGTGTCTCGTGTCAGTGCCCACCCCAGCAGGCCTGGCAGTGCAGGGGGATTTTGCCACTGATGCTCCATGGTGGGGATCCCACTGTGCTGCAAAGGTTCCATGGCAGCTCTGCCAATACAGCAGGCTGCTCCCAGCCCCTGCCCAGCTCACCTCCAGCAGCCTAAAAAACTGGGAAAAGCACTAATTTATGGCAAAACACCTCACCCTTGGGTACAGGTGCCCAATCGCTGCACCGTTGCTGTTTCTGTCCCCACTGCAGGTGATGTTTCCACCCCTACCAGCGGGATGGCACTGGCAGCAAGGTGGTCCCTGCACCATCAGGGGCACGTGCCAGCCCAGCCAGGGGCATGGTGAGGGGACCTGTGACCCTCCTCCTCCAGCACCCAGCTCGTGGCAGCAATCAAAGAGCGCGAGGGCACCTCGGCCCCAGCGCTGCGGCAGCCACGTCAACTCCTGTCATTTCCCAGCGAGTCCCATGGAACCCTTCTGGCTTCGGTGAGTCACCCTGCAGAAACATCCCCCTCAGCTCCCTGCGGCGCTGCAGCTCTCAGACAGGTCTCATTCCCATCTTCCTGACAGGCCTTGCTTTTATAACCCGGGCAGGAGCTGCCCTGAGGAGCTCAGGTCCCACTTCCACCCTCGTCCATCCCTCTTGTCCTGCTGAGACATCCCGGTTAGGAATGCAGCGTTTTCCTTCTTTATTTTTCCCCCTGTATTTGAGCTTTTGGGCAGCCGTGGTTACTACAGGAACAAACCCAATACGTGTTTCCATTTGGCCCCTCTCACCAAGGCTGTTACAAGTCAGGAGTAAATAATCTGAGAAATGTAAGTTATCCTGCAGGAACCACAGGCAGGCTGAGCAGGGGAAGAGGAACTGGATTTACCCCTGGCTGTGGGGGCTCCAAACAGCTAGAAAAACTCCTCCCACTAGTGGTGCTCCCCCACCAGGTCTGGCACTGCCCTCATCTACCTGTGTTATTCACTGCTGAGCTGGTTTTTAGCAGCTGGACTGGATGGTGCTGGGTGGCACAGCCACTGCCTGCAGGGTCCTGCTCAGGAGCTGCCCCTGCTCCAAAAGGGACACACTGGTTCTGGTGAGGGACAGGCCACCGTCCTGTCACCCTGGTGTGTTTCCCTCCGTGCTGTGCAGTGATTAGAAATCAGCATCTTATTTATAGCCTATTTATGCACTGCACAAGCGATGCAAACGCTGTCCCAGCAATAAATTAATTCCTGACATGCAATGTAAAAGGCACAGCAGTGCAAACAGCTACCCAGAGAAATGGAGAGGCTGTTCCAGCAGGGATATCTGCTCCTCTCTGTGCCTTCCAAGTCACTGAGACCTGAACACACAAGTGCTGTTTCAGGGCAAAAGATGCCAAGTCGGGACACTGGATTTGTACCCCAGGAGGCTTCCACAGGGTTTGGGGTGGGGTGGGATGGGTGACCCCTCCCCACAGGGCCCTGTGGAGAGCAGCAACCCCAGCCCTACTCCCCACCACTCCCAAGGCAGCAGCGTGGTGAGGAAATCAGGATTCCTAACAAAAAAAAGGATTCCTCTGCCTGGCATCTGCATTTCACCTTCCGCCCAGCAAAACCATCCTCCTTTGCGAGGACCATTAATAATTTAGAGCGATGAATTTTTCAGCAGAAAGGGGGTCTTGTGAAGCAGGCTGGTTCCTCTCTTGTGTGAAGCATATTATTTTTAATGATCTAGGTTTTCCTTAATTGTGGTAGCACAAATCCCCTAAAAACTCACAGCCCCTGCTGGAAACAACTGATGAGCTGCTCAGGCTGCTAATCCCCACGGAGAGGTGTGAAGAGGTTTTTCAGGACAAGGTGACAAGAAAAAAGGTACAAACAGGATGGGTGCAGGTGAGTGTTACACTTGGAGAAGAGCTGGGTCTGGTCTGGGACCTGCCAGGAGGGTTTGGAAACAAGGCTGTGGAGTCCCAGGATCACAGCACCCTGATGTGCTCAGTGGTGGCCAAAGAACCATCAAATTAAAACCAGGCACTGGCAAAGGGGACTAAGGTCTTGTGGTGAATAAATGTGAGAAAATTCATGTGGGCAGGAGGTGTAGGTAAATGGTGAGGGTTGGTTTCTGCCATGTGGACCAGGAATGTTGGAACATTGAATGGCCATGGGGCAGCTCTTGGGGGCAGAAGGGGCAACGCCACTGAGCAGGTTTATGTGGGGCACAAGGGCTGACAGGGGAACAGCTGCCCCAGAATAGGTGACAATGGAAAAGGCACAGCACAGGACAGATGGCAAGAGACCCTGGTGCACACTGACAGTCTTGGTCTGGTTCCCACATTATGCTGGGACACCACAGCCAGAGCTGCCTGAACACAAGGTGTGTGCTGCTGTGACCTGCCAAAACACTGGATATGCTCTTGGAAACCAGAAATTTTGCTTTGGTCATAACCATTCCAGGGCTTCAGCTGGGAACTGTTCCAAGTGCTCCTGCCCTGTCCTGGAGTTGCACCTGCAGATCAAAGAGCTGCTTCTGAAGGACAATAATAAGGCTTAAGTCTGAAGAAGTCCATGGAACAAAGGTACAAAACAGCAGCAGCTGAAACCCTCTCCTTCCCACTGAGCAGCACCTCCCTCTCTCTCTTCCCTGTTTGTGCCTGTTGCATCTCGAGCAGAAAGGGGAGGATGCAGGAAACAGGATGCAAAGGCTGAAACCCAAAAATAGACTGTGGTGGTGGGGAAAACGGGATGCAGGGAGGCCGGTCAGGGGTAGGGAAAAGCCCATCCCTCTCAGCACAGAGCACAGCTGCTCAGTGCAAATCCTGCCAGGGAGGAGCAGCACGGGGTGATCTGCCCATCCCTGGGCACTGCAGACCCTCGAGGGTGCCAGGGAGCCCCCCGGGGGGAGCCCAGGGCTGTGAGCAATCCTGCCTCTGCCACTCAGGAAAGAGATGTGAAACCGTGTCAGATTTTCTGCTCCCACTCCCAGGGAGATTAATTGTTTATCCCCAAACAAATTAATCGTCCCCTGGTGGGACTGTAAATATGCCTTTATGTAGCGTAATAAATTCCGATTAACAGCAATCCCCTGCCCGTTATTTTAATATGTTACAGGTCTGACATGAGCCGTGGCTGTGCCATTCACTGAGCAATAAATCTGCTCAAGATGCTGTTTCATTCAGCAAAAAAACCCCCAAAAAAATCAAAATTAAGATGTCACATAACGACTGTCCTGGGAAGGATTCCTTAATATCCCTAATGAAAACTTTTAAAAAATTAATTCATCTTTTGAAATCAGGACCCATGGGCTTTCCAGCCTAAAGTGGAAAGGGTGAAGGGAGAAAAATCTGTCCAGTCCAGTGACTTAGTGCTGAGAAATGTTACATGGTGTTTGGCTTGGCAGAGATAAAACAAGCTGGCAAAGCTCCTGCCATCACATCCTGTGAACTGGGTCACACATTAGTTTATTAATGCAATTTATTAATTGGAACTTGACCACCCCCAGCAGCTGCCATGCTGGATGGGCCCTGTGGTACCCAGAGCTGTAGGTGAGGGAAGCATTACAGACTGCTCAGGTGTTTCAGCCCTGCTCAGATGCTTAAGCACCTTTGGAAATGGGGGCAGAAAATAAATACCCTAAATAACTAGGAAATAAAGCCACAGGCTAAGTGAGAAAAATAAAGTGAGGGTCACAGCGTGCCTGGCTTTCTAGGGATGTCTGTTGAGGCAGAAAATGTTTGAGAAACCCCAAATGAGCTGGAAGAAAAGGGTAAATTCAATTGTAAGAGAAGAGGGGGGGAAATTAATCTAACCATTTTCGTTTTTACAGGCTGTCCCTTCCCATCAGAGCTCCGTGTGATGATTAAACATTCATTATAGGAATACGTTTTAGGGTTAAACTGGGTAGTGCTGTACCTGGAGAGGCAGCAACCAAATGGACACCAAGGTTGTTAAAAATACAAATCAGTGCTGGGTGGAGGTGCTGAAAGGTGACCACAGGGGTTGGGTTTTGCAGCAGTGCTGGTAGAGACCCAGGTGCCTTCTCCTTGGGCAGGGGTGCAAGGGATCTTGGTGAAACCAGGGAATATCCACCTGGGCACAGCACAGAGGCTCCTGCCTCGGTGGGAGACGCTGCCTGTGCAGGGTGGGTGGATGGAGCCTCGCAGCTTGTTCGTATTTCCCCCACACGAGTCACAGAAACAAACATCCACCATCTGGTCGGCATTAAAGCGACGGCCAGGAAGAGGATCCCACACGTCCCCGTCTTCTCCTCCCCGGCAATTACCTTCCTTTCAGCGCCATCTGAGAGCTCTCTCCTTCCTATTTGATCTTCCCCCTCCTTCATCCTGGCTCCCATGGTTGGTGGGAGTGGGTCCAACCTCCCCAAACCAGCCTGGTGGTGATGCAGAGCCCCAGGGGTGATGCTGCTGGGGAGGTGGCTGATGTCCCAGTCCCCTGAGATGGGATGTTTTGGGGCTGGAGCACAGGGAGAGAGAGGAGCCAACAAGGCTCCAGCCCTCATTTCTTCCTCTTCAAATGCAGGATGTGGTCGATGGGGACCTGCCCACACCACAGCAAGCACAGAGGGTACCTCTTCCCAGCCCAGATTTGGCTGCTTGTGCACAGAATTCAGCACCACCTGCACCAAGACACAGCTTGACCAGTTCCGGCCTTCCAGGTAACTTTCCCACTTTCCAGCTAATCAGGGTATTCATCAAAGTACCACAGGGGTTAATGCCCAAACTGATTCAAGGGGAGGGGAAAAAAAGGCATTTTTTTAATTAGAGAGAAAATTAGAGACAGATAATATGCCTGATGAATTACGGCCGTCTCTCTTTCGGTGCCATTGCATCTGGGGATGCTGGAAAGCAGTTCCTAATGGCACTGCTTTATCTAAGAGGATGATGGATAGTGGTGAAAGAGAGAAAAAAGGGAAAAAGTAAGACATTAGCACATCAATGGTGTGCCTGTGACCTCCATCAAGGGATGTGAACCAACTTAATGAAATTTTAATTAGGCAGCAAGCAGTGCTCTGTGGCTGGGTACCAGATCAGCCCTTCTTACCCAAGCTCTGTTATTATCCTTCCTTGGGATAAGCCCTTTCCTGGCACTGGCAGCAAAGCTGGGCTCATCGCCTTGGCCAGGGAATGCCCTGCAGGTCACAGCGCTCTCCCATCTGGCTTCTCCTCACAGAGCCAGTGGAGAGGAGCCTGAAGGGAGTGGGACCTGCAGCCTCGAGAGGATGGAGGGAATGTCCCACTGCCAAAGTGTCCCTGCCATGTCCCTGACACCCTGGGCCAGGCTCTGCTCTGGGCCCTGCAAAGGGGAAATGCAATGTTCACCCCAAAATGTCTCTGATGCCCCGGGACAATGCCCTTCCCGAGGCTCAGGATTTGCTCTTTGTCAGGCAGGTGTGTGGGCAGGTGACCCTGTGTGAACTGCCCCTCACTCTCATGAGTGGCCACCCCTCAGCTGAGCCCCAGTCCCTGCCCAGCCCCTGCAGCCCAAGCAGCAGCCCCAGTGCTGGCTCCCACCTCGCCCTGCTTTTGTTTAAGTAAAGCAGCTTCCACCTCCCTTTGAGAGCAGTGGATAGAATTAACCCTGAGAGCAGCCTGCCTGCATTTTCCATCAACTTGACCTCCCGTGGCCCACCCATAAGCTGGTCCTGTCTCAGCACCCCTTTCAGCCCAGCTTAGTGGTGAGCAGGCCACTGGTCAGTGAGTCCTGGAGGTGGTTTGTGACTGGAACGTGGGGCCACAGCCCAGGAGTTACAGGTTTCCCCATCACTGGGTGTTTTCTGTCCTGTTAATGTAGGTCAAAAAACTCTGGGTGGTTGATGAAAGGAGATAAAGTCTACTGTGAGGTAAATGTGCATGAAGGGAAAGAGGGTGATTTCAAGAGTTCCTTACACTTAGTACTTAACAACTCTTGCCAACGCTGTGTAAGAGCAATTAAAAATCAAATGGACTGGTAGAGTGAGCCAGGAAGGATCTGCTCTCTTGGGAGGTTCTTGGGTTGAGGAGATAAAAGGTGATTTCCTGACAATCCTAAATTAACATGTTGGCTCGATACACGAGTCTGGAGGTCGAGCAGACCCTGCCCAAGAGCCATCACACACACAGCTCCCTGCTTGGGTCACGCTGCAAGCCAGGCACTCCCAAAACGCTCATCCCTGCCTTGTGCCAGAGCCTGTGCTAGAAGAGGAGTGACAGATTTCCCAAATATCTTCCCATCTCCACGAGCAATCTCCTGATTCACTGGGCTCAGGGCTGCTGTGTAACTACTCTGCAAACCCGACCCCAGCCAGCAAACCTCAGGTGACATCGGGGACCCAGGGCTGGACTGACACGGCGAGAAACCGGCGATGCAGGTTTATGAAACCCTTCAGCATTTCCCAATGAAAGGGTAAGCAGGTTTACTTCACATTTTCACTAAGCTTTGCTGAATCTTTTCAAGTCCTGCTTGAAAAACCAAGAAAGACCCACTTGAGGAACTCCTGGGGTCGTACAAAGCCTTCCCCTGTCCTGAGCAGGTTGTTTTGGGCTCTGCTCCAGCATGGCATCACTGGCTCCATAGGCAAGTGGTCCATGTGGTTTAACCCTGACTATCATGGGCTGATCAGCTTCTTTGTTATTTTAGATTACATGCTTGGCAAAGCTTGAAAGTAATTGGAGACTATCTGGAAAAACAAAAATAGAAATTTGAAATGTGGCAGTACGAGCTCCCGAAGTGCAGCGCTGAGACAGGAACCCATGAGCCAAATGCTCCCACTGAAAGAGGAGATAAATTAGCTCAGGATGAAGCACTGCTTTGCATGTACACACAGGCACACAGCGATCTGGCACCAGGAGAAAGAAGATACTGAGATGCAGTGAAACAGCTCAGAGCTCAAAAGTTCACCTGTTTCTCCCAGCTCTACCACTTGGCCTCCTAAAGGAATCCCATCTCCCCTCTCCAGCCCTCACAGCTCCAAGACTTCCCACAATGAATCCTCCTTTCCAGTAACTGTCTGTGTAAGGGCCTCACTCATAAATTGGCTGGGCAATATCACCATCCCTTCTCCTGCCAGACCCTCTCCACTTCCCATCATCTCTTGCATGGTCTCAGCCTGTCCTCAACATCTCCAGCCATCAGGAATACTTTATTACATTCTAACCCATCAAATAACCATCATGATGCTGAGCACGGTGCAAGGCTCAGCAGCCTGAGCACTGACAGGGTTAAATTAAAGGTACCCCTGATATTAGAGAGCTGCAAAATAATTATGAAAGGAAGCAGAAAAAAAAGCCAGCAACTCTAAGCAGACATGAAGGCCCTCTTAAGAGAAGAAAGGCATGTTAATTAACCTCCAGACATGATTCAAAGCATCATTTGTAGCATGATTAACATAATCCCCCAAGTGCACACACACAAACGGCATTAACGATCATTTGCAGGACTGAACGGCTCCCCCACCCCTCCAACAAATCGGGTTTGAGCAGGGAAACGCTGCAAACGTGCACGTTGCAGGAAACAAAAAGAACAATGTTCCCTGGGGATGGACACTCCAGCTGAGGGCTGTGCCCACCCCGTGTGCTGCAGGTGGGCATCCTCCCCAGGTGTGCTCTCAGCATCCTTCCCAGGTGTGCTCTCAACATCCCCCCAGATGTGCCACCAGCTTCACTCTGAAAGAGCTCTTGACTCTGTGTCATCTTTTTCTCCCTTTCCCAGCCACAGCCACAGCTCACACCCTCCTCACCAGCCTCTGCCACTCCAGCAAACGCTGGGGGCTGTTTTCAGAAGCTCCTGGATTCCTCTTAGTGTTTGGCTCGTGGCTTTCATTTAAAAAAGGAGCTGCCCACCAGACTGCTCGAAAGATTGGAAATGAATGCCACAGTTCTGCAAGCAAAGAAAAAAAAAGAGCCACAATCTCCTCATCTCTCCAAAAGGAGAATCTCCTGCTTGAACTCGTGGACAGGGTTCCCAGCACTCGGCTCCCCCCGTCCTGAGCACCGAGGCGTGTGGGCTCAGAGGCTGCTCATGCAAGAAAGCCAAAGCTGTCACCTGCCTCAGCAAAGCTGTCAGGGATATTTTATTATATTCCACCCCATCAAATAACCATCACAACAGGTATTCCCACCATCATCATGGCAGAAAGCTGGTAGGGGAGCACTTTCCTCTGAAAGCACTGTTTGTTCTCCATTAATTATCTGGGCGGTATTGATAAAGGTGACATGGACGTGTCACCAAAACCCCCTGTAAACTCCACTCTGTACTGTGATATTCATCCTTCCACAGCCCAAGCGTTGCACTGCTTTGTATTCTGGATGTCAGTGTTTTCAGAGGCTGAAGCTTGTTCAAATGAGTCACTGCTGAGCTTCGTTATCTTTAAAGTTTGTTATTACTTGGGAGTGTTTATCTGCATCACATTTGCAAAAACATCTGAACAAAGGCCAGCCCATGGAAACAAGAGCATTTTTGCACCTTTTTATATAAATAGTAAGGAGTTTATCCAGCTGGTTCTTTTCTTTGCAATTCACGATATTTGTCTTTAATGCCAATTTGAGGGACCGGGATGGGATTTAAGCAATCACAGGCGGAGCTGCTTTCCAGGGAGAGATAACAGCGCAGCTCCAGGACGGGCTGAGTAACCCAGCTGCTGACACCCTTTGTGCCGGCCACAGCCGCGACCTCTCGGGGATGCTGCCCTGTGTTGTGACCCGGAGCAAGTCCAAGCAGCAGCACTGAAATCACACCCACAACCTCGGGGTAAGAAGCTAAGAATGAAGGAGAGGAGGAAGAAAGGGCAGGGGCAAGCAGGAGGCGGGATACTGGGACCGAGCTTTGTGTGGTCCCAGTGTGATGGGCAGCTCTTTGTCACCCCTGGGACACCACAGCAACCCCAGGCCCCGTGGGGCAAGTGGGGAGGCCTTGGCCTCCTTCCTCCCAAAACCTGGTAAGGGCATCACCCCAGGGGACCAGGCAGGGGGCAACCACAGTCCCCACATCCAGGCTCGATTTCTGGATCCACGTGTCCCAGGGCAGCGGCTTCAGCCACCTCCCTGCTCTGCTCCCTCCTGCTCAGCAAACTCGGCCAGCAAGTGATGCTCAGTACCCTGCTGGGAAGCACCAAAGCCCCTCCAGCTTCTCCCCTGGCTCCTGGCAGGGTAGGGTGGCTGGGTCAGACCTGTGGCATGGTGGGGCCGTGCCCATGGCCATGCTCAGGCTGCACTGACCCCCACACCAGCACGAGGCTTCCATGCAGCTCCTCGAGCACAGCCAGGCATCCCAAAGTGGGATGTGACCCCACAGGGACCGCGGGATACCCAGGGGGTGCTGAGGGGATGCTCCGAGCAGGACATGGGGGGATGCAGGGAATGGAAGGGAGGCTGGAGAGCAGCACAGGAAGGTGTAGATGATGCTCGAGGGCAGCACGGGGGATGCAGGGGATGCCCAGGATGCCCAGAGCAGGACAGGGATGCTGGAACACGTCTGGAGGACAGGACAGGGGATGCTGGAGTGATGACAGGGGGTCCTCAGGGATGCAAGGAGGACCAAGAGATACTGGAGAGCCTGGAGCAGGTCTGGGGGGATGCCAGGAGGTGATGGGGTGACGCTGGGGAGCCCAAAGCAGGCAAGGGAGGATGCAGAGGAGGCGATGGGGGATGCAGGGGAACCCGAACCAGGCAGGGGGGATTCTGGGGATGCCGGGAAGCTCGAAGCAGGCAGGGGAAATACCGAGGAGGTGATGGGTGATGCCGGAGAGCTGAGGGAAGGGCAGGCGGGATGCCGGGGAGGTGACAGAGGATGCCGGGGAAGTGATGGGGGATGCCGGAGAGCTCGAAGCAGGCTGGGGGGGATGCCGGGTCGGTGACGGGAGATGCCGGGGATCCAGGGAAGGGCAGGCGGGATGCCGGGGATGTGACAGGGGATGCCGGGGATGTGACAGGGGATACCGGCGAGCCCGGGGAAGGCGATGGGGGGGGTGCCGCGGCGGGGAGGCGCTCACCTGCCAGGAACCGGAGGGGATGTCTCCGAAGCCGCCGGGGCCGGCGGAGCCGTGGCAGCCCCGGGGGGGTCCGGCGCAGCGCCAGAGCAGCCCGAAGCCGGCGGCGGCTCGGCCGGGCGGCAGCAGCCAGGCCGGCGAGAGGAAGGCGGCGGCGCAGGCGGCCAGGAGGCCGGCGGAGAGCAGCGCCCAGAAGCAGCCGACGCCGCTGCACATGGTGCGCCGGCGGGGCTGGGAGCCCGCGCCCCGCGCCGCCCCCGCGCCCGCCACCGGCACCGGCACCGACAGCATCGGCGGCGCGGGGCGGCCCGCGGGGCCGGGCGCGGGGCCGGAGCGCTGCCCGCGCCCTGCGCGCTCCCTGCGCGCTCCCTGCGCGCTGCCTGCGCCGCCCGCCCCGCGGGGCGCGGCTGAGCACGGGCGCGGCTGCGACACCCGCGGCGGGCGGGGGGAATCCCGGGGCGGTCACCTGCGCGCACGGGTTTTGGGGGGGGGTGGTGTTTTTACGGCGTTTCGCTAAAGAGTCGTTTTATTCCTGCGGTTGTCGGTGATATTTTTAACGCGCGCACGCTCCCCCTTGGACGGCGATGCTGCGGCCCCGCTCCTGCCGCGATCCCGGACAGGGACGTGCGTGGGGAGTGAGGGTTTGCGGGGGGTTTCTCGCAGCCCGGGTGTCACCGTGTGTGTGGGTATTTAAAAACGCGGGGTCCGCGGCTCCCTCGTGGGAGGGAGATCTGCTCGCTTTGAGCGATGTCAATTCTATTCCTTAATCCCCGCAGGCTTTTCCAAAGTCTTGGGGGCAGAGTGGGGAGAGAGCGAGGCACAGCGGCTGCCCGGGAGCCTGCGCTTACTTTAGGTGTAAAAGCTGCGCCTCCCAGTGCAGATGGATTTTTATAACAGTCATTCTGAAACTTCCTGGATCAGGTTTTATTCCTCCTAAACCTCCTGGTCGCTGTCGTTGTGCAGCAGGAATTGATGCCCTTGCCCTTACGCCTCGCAGATCTGCCGGGGTTTTCTCGACCTCCAGAAGCTCAGCTGTCCCCCCGAGCGGTCCCACGTCCATCAGCCGCAAGCCAAAAGAGCCAAATCCTTTCTTAATATAGCAAAAAAAATATCTTTATCCCGCCCGAATGTCCTCAGGCGGGTTTAAGGCACTTAACTGCCGACACCGCTGAAACAGTTAAAGGTATTTTGGTTAAGACAAAAGGTTTTTCCTTCAGATCCGGGGTGCGTCGCTCGATGTCTCAATTGCAGCCTTTGGAGAGGGCTCCGAGCCCGGCGGTGCTGGGAAGCCCGTGCGGATCCCGGCAGCAGAAGCCGGGGGCTTGGCACCCTCTCCTGGTGTGCGGCCGGAGTGCTGCGGCAGGAGCCGGGCTGCCCCGGCAGAGAACCGATGGCAAACCATCCGCACTTCCAGCTCAGTTCAGGGGCAGAACCTCCGGGATAACGCGCCGCGGTTCTGTCTGGATGCAGCGTTTGGGCTTCACGGGGGTGTGTCTTGTCCTGTGGGACATCCTCCGTGGGGATGCTGCTTGTCCTGTGTCTTCCACGAGAGTTTCGAATGGACAAAATCACACCCAGCCTTGTTTTTTTCCCCCATATCCCCGGTTTGCAGAAACGCCCGAGAGCTGCCATGTGCTGCATCGCTTCTTGTATTCCTTGAGGCATTTAGGAAAGCATAAGGGGGAAAATAAAAAGCATAAATGGAGAATCACAGAAAATGGTCTTAAACTAGATTATTATAATTTTTTTAACTTTCCACTTAAACTAGATTATTATTTTTCAGAATGCAGAATGGCCAAGAACTCGGGAAAAACAAGGCAGATTGGAGAAAGGTCATCTGAGGTGAGTTCCACACAGCTCTGGCAATTCCGTGTGGGCAGAGTGGAGGTGGGAACAAGCTGGTTTGCTTTCACTAATTCAGGATAATTCCAGAGTGGCACCAAAGCCCTGCAGAAAAGGCTTCCTTGCTGCAGGAGCAGCCTGGGGAAAGGCTCAGAGCCCAGTGTGCTTGTCTGTTTGTCTCTGCTCCTGCTCAGTGCTCCTTCCCCAGAGTTACCAGGCACATCTGCAGCAGCTCTTTCTGCTGGGAGTGACCCTGTTTTTCCCCTTTTCCCCCCATTTTACACTTCAAACCTCGAGTTTTAACCCCCCACTCACCCACTGAGAGTCACCCCTCGCTTGTGCCCAACCACCAGGCATGGAGGAACAAACCTCTCTCCGTGGGCATGTGCTCAGTGGAAGGAGTCAAGGAGGGGTTTCAATGTTTTAATGAAACCAGTTAATTTTTTCCAGGCTGGGACTGGGAGAATTCCCTTCTTTGAAATCCCCAGCAGAGTTGAGGAGCAGGTACCAACAACCCTCCTGTTCCCATGGACTGAGGTCAGCCACATCCAAATTTGCAGGGATTTCTAAGTGTGCATGCAGACACTTGTTTTCCCATTAAAAAAAAATAAATAAATAAAAAGGAGAAAAATATAAGTCTGTAATTGAAGCTGCTGAGACTGCAGTTTCGGAGCAGCCCTGCTGTGATGTATCAGTTCCTTCTTCTCATTTTCCAGCTTCCCCAGCATCCTGTTGTGCACCAATATATGTCTGTGCTGCATCTTTCCCACTCTCCCCACCACTAATTCTTGGATTCTTGGTGGTTGTATTGCTTATTTTGCAAGATGTCTGACTATTTGTTTGAAATAATATTGTATTGTTTTTGAACAGTTCCAATGGCAATGTTTGGAATGAATGGTTTTTAAGCTCTAGTGTGTTTTTGCACAAAGGCATTTTTGACTCCTTATATATTTTGGACATTATTACTGATTCCAGAGTAAGATCTTGGCTATTAAAGCCCTTAATCATATAGGGTTTTTTATTATTTGTATTCCCAAAGTAGTGAGAAGTCTAAATGTGAGGGAGAATCCCAGCATCATGTGAATACATGGAAATAAATGGGCTGTCCCACAGATGTGAGAAATGGGAATGGCCTCTAACACGATTTGTTACACGTGTGTTTTTGTGCTGTAGCTGAGCAGGGCAGTTCCCTGTGATTAATTTCCTGAGTCAAAGGCGCCAAAGTCTTGTTCTGCTTTATTAGTTCTGTCCAAACAAGATCATTCCACTCAGATCTTATTAAAGTTTGTTTATTTTTCTAGCTGTGGAGAGAGAAAAATCACCAGGAAGTGAGGCTTTTTTTTTAATTGAATATTTTAATCCAGGGAGGAGTCCCTCATCTTCCCTGACATTGGCCAAGCCATGTCCTGAAGTCATATTCCAGCTGATTGCTCAGGCAATTAAACTCTCATGTGCTTGTAAAGACTCCAGAACCTGCTGTCACTCACACTTCCAGTTCAGATCTCTAGAGACAAACTGTGGATTGGAGCTTCAGCCCTTCCCCACGTCCCCAAAAAAGGGAGAAAATTTCAGTCCAGGAAAGGTAATCTGTGTCAGACTCTTGTACCTTGAGGTTTCCTCAGTTATGCAGAATCTGATGCAAAGAAAATTGAATTACCCCAAAGACTTTGACAGGTTGGATGAGGTTTTTGGAAAAGGAGCTGCTGTTTGAAAAGGAGTTGCAACATGGAAGGTTTTCCTCACCAAGTGGGGTGGGCAATGCCTGCAATTCACCCACCCCAAAGGGTTTGAATCACTGCATTCTTCTTCAACCCCAACATTGAAACCCAAGAGGAGTGGGTGCAAATTTCTTTGGCAGAGGCTGTTAATTCAGTGTTCCCTGAGTCATCCCATTCTTCCCCATTTGCTCATGTTTTGAATGTTTTAGTCTACTAGCAGTCTCTTAGGTTATGTGCCAATTAAATAATTCCATTCATTATGCAGAAACCATATAGAATAGTTCATTATCCTCCAAGCAGCCTCTGGGCACGTGTACAAAACTGTATCAAAGAGCACCAGTTAACAAAAACAATATCAAAAGAGAAAATGCAATTGCTACAGGGTGTTGATCAGCTGCACCATCTTGCCCAAGAGACAGCTCCAGCCCAGCCCCTGGAAGATCCCCATGTACCTTTTATGCAATTTACAGTTTATGAGTGTTAATTACTGAGCGTTTGTAAAGAGCTTTGGAACACTTGGATGAGAAACGGTGCAGGAACTTTGGTGATGATTATTAATTACATCATTTTCTCGGTGCCCAAGCACCGAGGGCAGGACAGTTACATGGCAGGGGGGTGGCAGAGGAAGAGCTGCAGCTGCCTCCTGTGATTCCTGCAGGGATTGTTTTGGGATTCTCGTGGTGTTTTTGGTAATTGGGCCCACGGAACGCAGTCTTGAGGATCAAGCCCAGAAATGTCGTGGCATAAAACACCTTGCAGAGGAACTGGGATGGGAGTTGTGTGCTTGGAAAGGCAATTCCTGCCTGGTGTGGAGCACTAAATCCCACGGGAAAGCGACACAGTTCGTGTCCCTCCCTTCTCGCCATCGCTGGAGTTCACGGCACTCACGGCAGGTTCCCAGGAAGAGGTTGGATGGTTCGCTGCACGGATCAGGTGGAGCTGTGTGGTTTGGCGAGAGCTGCTCTCCGGGCCCGTGCCTCAGTTTCCTCACACACAAACCAGAATATATTTATAATCATAGTCTTTATACGGTGTTTGCAAAGCATTTATATGAGAGATCTGCTCCTCAGAGATCAACCCAAGCGCTGAGTTAGAATGACAAACGTCCTTGGTGGGTGAGGAAAGAGCGGATTTGCCTCGGGAGGATAATTAAGAGGATTTTTGTGGCTGGATCCAGGATGTGGACAGAACTGACTTATCAGGCAGCGATTGCCGGGCCCGGCAGTGTCCCCACATCCTGCCGGGCGCGATGCAGCCTGGCAGGGATTTCTGGTGTGTCCGGGTGGGTTGGGATGGAGTGACGGAGCTGCCACATTCCTGCAGCACACGAGGCACCGACCGGGGCCACGATGTCCCCTTGGCACGAGGGGCCAGAGCGGGGGGTGCAGAGCCCACAGACCCCGGGCAGGGGTCAGACAGGGGCCAGGGCTGGCCCTCTGTCCTGTTATCCATCCCCTCTGCTGTGACCCCCATGGCCAAAAGGACATTTTGGGCCACGTCTCAGAGGTCTCCAGGGTGTTTCATGGGGCACTGGGCTCTCATGTCCCTGCCCTCAGGGTTCCTGTCCCCTGCCCTCAGGGTTCTTGTCCCCTGCCCTCAGGGTTATTGTCCCCTGTCCTCAGGACCACTGTCCCCTGCCCTCAGGGTTCCTGTCCCCTGCCCTCAGGGTTCCTGTCCCCTGCCCTCAGGGTTCCTATCCCTGCCCTCAGGGTTCTTGTCCCCTGCCCTCAGGGTTCCTGTCCCTGCCCTCAGGGTTCCTATCCCTGCCCTCAGGGTTCCTATCCCTGCCCTCAGGGTTCCTGTCCCTGCCCTCAGGGCTCTCTTTCACCACGGGACGCGCCCAAACTGCCGCAGCGTCCCCAGGTCACCTGCGCCCTCAACCAAGATGGCCGCCCTCGCCTCCACCAGCCCTGCGCCCCCTCGCCCTGATCAAAGATGGCCGCCCCATCACCGCCCACCGCTGTGGACCCCCGCGCGCTGCTTGCCCTCACCCAACATGGCCGCCCCTATCAAGCTCCTCTTGACCCTCCCGCCCGACGCCGCGGCCGCCATGTTGGTTGCGGGCGCGTCCCGCCGTGCCGCGCGGCGGCGCCGGGCGGAAGCGGGCGCGGGGCGGTTGTTGACAACATGGCGGCCGCGGCGGGAGGAAGGGGCGGAGGGAGCGGCGGCGGCGGGCGGGGGCAGCAGCCCCATTCATAGGGCCCGGCCCGCGCCCTCCCTGCCTTCCCCCGCCCCGCCGAGCCCCCCCTCCCCGGCGCTATGTCCTTCTTCAGGCGGAAAGGCCGGGGGGCGGCGGCGGCGGCGGGCGGGCGGCCGCCGGGCTCGTCCCCCGCGCGGCTGCCGGGCCCCGGGCCTGCCGCCCCGGCCGCGGTGAGCGGGCCCCGCGAGGACGGCCGGGCCCTGCGGAGCGGGCTGGGTGGCAGTGACGGTGAGTGTGGCGGTGGGGGGGCTCTGAGGGGATCGCGGGCTCTCGGCCCCCCCGTGAGCGGCTCCGAGCGCTGGCCCGGGCGGGGAGGGGGCTGTGACACCTCCCGCAGGGTCTGAGCCTTTTAGCGGGTTACTTTGTCACAGTGCTGAGCTACGTGGGTTTTTTTACCAAAATACAGCGGGCTGGAATTGTACAGGGGCGGCTGGAAGTTAAAAAGGGAGCTCATTGCACCCAGCTCCTTGTGAAAGAGTCAGTTTATTTTGTCATTCGCTTGTTACGGAGCACAAGATCTGAAATTTAGGACTCACGAATTATTTATAACGCTCTAATGGCACAAATGGCTGTAGTTTAAGCGTTGTTTGAGAGCGCAGCGTTCGGAGGGTGCCTGTGCTCGTGCTGCAGTGAGCGGCACTGCTTTCAGTCCCCACCGCTGTGGTTTGGGTGGTTTTTATAGAAAGTGGCACCTTTTTAGGAAGGGCCTCTTGGGACGGTTCTGTCACCTCGTGACTCCGTAGCTCGAGCAATACAACCACTGATTCTCAGCAGTGGCTGATGCAGCGCTGTCCTAAAGCCTTTTCTCGATTACTGACCCCAGGATGCACATCTTGGGGGGGAAGAACGTGGTATCTGAGCTGGTGATATTGCTCTTGGCTGGCACTTCCTCTGGAGCCTGCTCAGCCAAAGTCACAGCACTGAAAATGCCATTCCTTGTGGAGGTTAATTCTGGAAGAAACAAGCCTAAACTGTTCTCATCAGCAGATACGAAGACTCTGGAAGCCCACTGAGGGCTTTGCAAGTGCCATAATCCTTTTTGGGGGGTTTGCTTGCAAACGTTGAGCTGCTGAACGAAACTTTCATGGTGGTTATAAACTCTTCAAAACCGGCTTTTGCTGCTGCTTTGGTGGGGATTGTGGAGCTGATGTTCCCTCCTGGTGTGTGATCACAGGGACAAGGTCAGCTTGGGTGGAAATTTTCTCAGGGAGAATGAAATGTCTGATTATCTGAAAGGTGTAATTGAGGATCTGTGTTCCTTTGATTAAAGGATCTTTGGTCAGAGACGCAAATCAGCACTAAATGCCCGAGAGAGACGCTGTGAAGGAGAGAAGAGGAGTAACCTTTCATCTGGGCTGCACAGAAAATAACTGCTTTGTGTGATCTCCATTTTTAGATTTGGCTTTTTAGAGAAGATGGGGAGAAAGGCAGCACTTTAAAGCTTAGGGTTAAACTGCAGAACCCACACAGTCCAAAAACATACAAGCACCAAGGTTCCTGGGGTGAGCTGTCGGGAGGATATTGCACTGGGTAAAAAAACTCTTTTTAAATTGATTCTTGATGAGGATCAAAAACCAAGAGCAAAATGTTTTTACAGCTTGGGCCTTAAAATAAAGGCCTGTGAGACTGAGGGTGGATAATGGGGTTGAGAAATCAAAGGGTAGCAGTCGAAGCAGCAGCCGGGCGCTCGAGGGCAGGTTATGAAACTGTGGGTCAGACAGGTGGCACGCTCATCCCTGGGGATGCCTTGGGAATTACGTGCAGCCCCGCTGGTTGGCTGATCCTGCAGGGTTTACGCTGGTTTTTTTGTCCGCTGTCTCCTGGGTTTGCTCGTTCTCGAGCCTTTCGGGATGTGAAATTCCCGAATGTCACGGGGAATTGGGGCTTGGCGCGTGACCCCTTCACAGTGGGCTTGGCCCCTGGAAATCTCACCCAGCCTCAAGCCCTTGGTCTCACACAGGCACCGCGGGGCATCCGCTTTCTGAGGGAAGTGAAAGTGAATTCGTGTAGTGAAACCCCGCTCTCTGAAATGTGGCGTTGCCACAGACAGGAGTTTGCTTTGTCCTCTGGTGTTGATGACGTTCCTTTGCTGGGCTGGAAGCTGCTGGGGACAGAGGCAGCCCGTGGGGAGAGGGTTTGGAGCTGGGAATGGAGTTTGTATTTCCAGTAGTAAGTAGGTAATTAGAGAGGAACTGAATG